GCTCCAGCTTAGATCTTCGTTTTATCTTATTTTTAAGTGGTTTGCATGCCTAGTCAATACCCTACTATCTGTCCTCAGAGGGCATTAATGTTTATTAATAAACTTGATGCTATCAAACAACTTGAGTTTGAAAGTACAGAGACGCATCACACAGTTGGCTGTATTGGTGTCAGGCAACAGAGCAGTATTTTGGCAAACATCAGTGCATATAAGCAGAACAACTAAGTGAAAAAGCAGAAAAATAAAGAGGCTGCAGTGTTACTTTCTAGTTGTCAGTGACAACTCTGACATTCCCTAGCCTAATTAATACTTTTCGGTTTATGCTGTTCATTCAAAAAGCATTTGTGAAGTTTAGAGCTTGTGAACAACACTCGGCGGCACATCAGCTGCACCAGACAGACCCAGGACAGACAGCCAAGAAATAACACATGCTGCCTCACACCCATCCTGCGTATCAATCGCCTCCCATCCACTCACACAAGAAATGTCGTCTGTCTAGGTGGCATCTGCACTGCCTCATTCGCGGGCTCCTCTCCGACATAAATGTGCCATTTTGGACAAGCCAGCTGACTACTGCTTTAGGCTGGAGCCTTCATGTAAATGCTTCTATGCCTACAAACTAAACGTAATACTAAGTAACATCAGCTGAAACATCAGTCATATCTCTTTTACTTAAATAAAAAGTCAGCATAAACTCCGACATCTTAGAAATAATTTAAAAAAAAAAGAAAAAATATATAATAAACTTCTCTGTTAACTAGCCAGCTCAATACTGAAGGCAATACCCTCGCACCTTTCAGATCATCTCTGTCATTGCCTGCTGCTCCCCCAGAAATATTCTGAGCAGCAGCTTGATGCTACCCGTCACACACAGGCTCCTTCGCATGCGAGTATAGAAATTAGAAATGTTGCACCTTGTCCACAGTAGTTGCTGGTTGGAAATAAGACAGCATCACCCAGATGTCAGCACAGCACACCTCAGCTGTACCGCTCCAGTCTCTCGGCGGATGAGGCTTTCCTTAAGCCACCTGCAGCTCTCTTCTCTGCGGAAACCAATGCATGGTACCCACACAGCCCAATATTCTGATCAACACTGAGTATCACTGGGGAAGCAGCTACTGCATGCATAGGCATGACAGAGTCTCTAGAGAGATGTTTCATCAGTCCTGTCCTGAAGAGACCACTATCAGTCAAAGGCTAAAGGGAACGACAACCCAGTATGCTGGCATAGGATTTACTTAGCCGTTATTCAGAGGTTAAGTCCCATTGATACCAGTTGGAGATACTCAATATTCACACAGCTTCTGAAGTTAGACCACTTCTGTAGGTGCTTGAATCTGGAATCACGTTTTAGACATCCACTTTTGAAAGCTGGGGGCCAAGTGACCCCATTCATTTTTATCCAGGCAAGACTGTAGTGGAAACTGAGGAATGTGATGCATTTGCAATTGCGTATTTGCAGCGACACACCATTGCGTGTGGCAGTAGAATGGTTTTTAGACTTTCTGGACCTCAGGTGGTTTTTGTTCCTAATACCATTAAAAGCCTATTTACTGAGACAGCCCATAAGGCAAAAATCAGACCCGCAGAAACAACAACTGAAGTGGGAGAGACCCTCTGAACTCCATGAAATATTTACAAACAGCTTTAGGAGCCCAGGGATGAAGTAAAGTACTTTCAAGCACAGACAGAAAACCTAATGGATATAAAAATCCTTTTTTAGCTCTTGGTGAGATTTGTTTTCACAGACCTAGCTATGATATGAGAAAATGTATGAGGTCATCCAGTCTGCCTCCTCCCCTTCCAAGAGAAGTGATCCCTGTGCTATGTTTTATAACACTTGGCTCAGCCTAGCTCTGCCTGACCCAAACAATAGAAGCCGAACCCACTTCTTGGGAATCTTCTCAGTTTTTTCTAAATATTTCACTTTCTGGAATTTTCCCCAGTATTCCACCCGGAACAATTCAACGCAGTATGTATAAAGACACTTCAATGTCATGATCATTATCCTGTTGATTTCATATTTATCCCCTTAGACAACCCTAAATAATTTCTCAGCCAGCGTGGTGGTGATGTCCCTCTAACATCTGCCTACAGTCATGCTCTTCACCATTTGGACTCACTATTGCCGTGCTCTGCTGTGACTGAGCCTTCACGAGCAAATTCTTTCAGATGTTTTCATGTCTGTTCCTTCCTCTGTACTGAAGACATTATTATCACACTTGAAAAGGACAAGGAAAAGCAAAGAGGAGAAAGAGGCGAAGAGACTAAAATGCCTTTCTTCATGCTACCCCAGCTGTGCAGGCACACAACGAGCCATCTAAACACCTGGCCCACACACATCATTTAATTCTTACCAGGATTTATGGTAAGGGTATTGTTCAAGACGATGAAAAGAGAGAGTCCTCTCTTTTGTTTCCAGGATCTACTCCCAAGGGATCGCACAAGAAGTATCACGAACAGTTACAGGGGAGAACTGAGTTTAAAGGAATCAATCTGAGATCCCTATGGCACTTGTTTTCTTTGCATATTATCCTTTGTGCTTTAAAAGAAAGAAAAACCCATACAAAACACAGTCATTCCCTCATCAAAGCAGCCTTTCAGATTCAGGAAGCTTTTCCAAAACATACAGACTTTGTTGGTTGTTGTTTTTTAAAATGATGCTAAAATGGCCTTCAGACTCAAAGTGGTAGACGAATATGTACACAGATACTTCAAAACATCAGAAATATTTACAGTTTAAGAAATATCTGTTTTTTTTTTTATTTTTACTTTCTGACCAAATCAAGATTTTTTTTCAGCATTTGAAGTCTCTAACATCTAAAGCAGAACAGTGAACACAGCTTATTTTATGTGTTAAAAATGTCATCAACTGTTGCATACAATTATCTCTCTGAAATATGCAGAGGTAGAAGTCTTACCATAGCCAGACTGAGCTGCTCTTTAAACAAGGTTCTCCTGGGGTAAATTCCCATCCTAGAAGCAGCTTACCCTCATGACACTATTCACCGAGTGATCATTATTCTAATTTTACTCTTGAGGAAACGTAGGCAAGTAAGACAAAGCATTTGTCTAAAACCATAGAGTAACTCAGGTGCATTTTGCTGACCTGTGTAAACTCAGCACATTGCTTTAATAAGTAGAATAAACTCTTTCCACATTAGGAAAAACTTTTTTCAAGTTAATACTTTCCTGAGCAGAGCACATATATTTTAAAACACTGGTACCTTTGGCAGAAAGCAAGACTGTCTGGGTTTTTTTTTTTTCCTTCCACCATTACAAAGTATGGTCATCTGCAAATGAACTTCTACCTGTCTGCAGGACTTTCAATAGTAAGAGGTTCTAGCAATAGCTGCACTCCCTGTAGGATATATACAGCAACTGGGTCAGCCTGTTTACAAAATAACTTGTGATTATCAAGGCAGTACTCCGCAGCTATGACTATATTATACCAGAGCATAATTAAAGACAGACAGAGTTAAAGCACTGTAAAATAAGGAAGCAGTAGCACTTAACAAAGCTGTTCAGGATTGGGAAGAGGTTGGGGTTTTGACTCCCAGTTAGTCCCTCGGAGATCAGCTAACTAGGTTTTGTTCCGATCAAGAATAAAAACATCCATCTAAACGTCTGCTGAGGACAGTCAGCTCGCACCCTCAGGAAGAGTGAATTTTGTAACAAAACACAGCAGAGTTTGAATGGTGAAAAGAATCATTGTAAGGGGAAAGCCAAAAATAAAAACCTAACTGAACTTGATTGATTGTACATAAAATGGATACACCACTATACCAATAGCTGTATAAAGCGTACGCATTCCCATCCTTACCCCTCAGAACACAGCTGAAACTATCCTTCCCCTCCTAAATACACATACTGCGTTAATACCTGCCATGATGTTTCAGGATTGACTTCCAATTTGTCTAGACCCTGTGATTCACAAAATGTGGTCTTCTTCGGGCAACGTCTATTCCTAAATCACAGAGCACGGGTTAGAAGGGAGGTAGAAAAGCGCCTATTTCTATCCCAGCTATGGAGAGGAGAAGGCTGTATTTTCTGGAACAAAATAGTTATGCTAACACTCCCAGCAAGCAATGGATTATCCTAATACTAGGATATACTCCAATAATGGCTGAATCATCATTATTTTATGGTGAAGTCTCAGGGGAGGGGAAACAGTCATTTTTGAGAAGACCTAGTTCTAGCCAATGAGTACTACAGAAGAAAGATCATGAAAAATTAGGCAGGGGACCTTTCTTGTACTTACACTGCTCTTTTTAAAAGTTACCATTTTTTCCACTCCATCCACTTTGTTTTTGTAAACACTGCAAAGAAAAGATGAAAACCGGTAATCCACTGTCCATTTGTTTCACATTTGCTTACTGCACAGGCACTCCATCAGTTTATCTCCCTTTTTGGATATGCTGTAAGTGTCTTCCCAAAGTATGTTCCCAGGGTGACACTTTGGTTCTAGAGCAGGTTTGCCCTGGCAGGTTGCAGACAAAGGGGATCATTGTAGATGACTAGCCAAACAAGCCCTTCGCTTTCCTGTTCATTGCAGGAACTTCTCAAAATCCATAAATAGCTAGGTGGCTTGGAGTAGACAAGGAAGAACAGATCTGATCCCCAAGCCTAATTATCTAACATTACACTGCTGAGTCCGTATCTGTGTCTGGCAAGATGGCACGCCAAGATACAGAATACCTGTAGCATTCACTGCCCTCAGGAGGCTCTGTAGATCCTCAGTCCTTAAGTAGGCTAAATGTGGATTCAGAAACATAACCACGACCAATCGTGCTGTGCAAGTATTTTATATATCATTATATGTATACTCATAACCAGGTAAGCCCACACATACAAAGTTTAAGGCCACGCATACTTACTTTACTGGAACAGGACCACAATTCACTTTTTGATGCATGCATCTTTCTCTCTCTCGCATGTTTATGCTGTCAAAGCTTTAAGTGTTTCACAGGAACAAAAAAGATGCTGTTGATTTTTCATCTTAAATTGCAGGGAAAACATTTTTATTGATCTTTGGTTTAATTTTAGAAGACATCAAGTTCTTGCCGACAAAGCTGTTGTAAGTACAATCACCAGCTGTCCAAAGCCACCACAGTAATTCTGAAGAAGTTCAGAACTGGTCTTTGTCTCCACCAAAGTAAGCAATGGAGCAACTTCACCTCTCAGCCACAGCCAGAAACAGTCAGGCAGCAGCAACCTTCCTCCTCGGGCAATTCCCTCTCCTACCTAGTACGTGGCTCCATGCCGCTCTTCTTCCTGAAGAGGAATTCAAGGGAACCAGACCGCTTCCCCTCGGCTGCCCACACATGCCCCAGGAACCAAGTACTTCCCAGAGGGCCCATCACAGGCTCTGTATACTTCAGTACCAGACAAGTCACAACCCATAGAACACTAAGATGCCATAGGCACATTAGAGTTGAGCAAAAGTTGTAAGTTACTAAAAGGATTTTAAATTAGAATACGAGAGAAACTTTCCACTACAGTACAGAGCAGATATATATTTTACTAACTTCTACAGCATTTTGTTGACTGTGGTAAGACCTCAGGCGTTTCCTCCGCAACACCGCGTGGCTCCTAAATTCAGCTTCTCTTAAGAGCTTAGAAAACCAGGTAACAGTAAGGATACTGAACGAGAACTACACAGCTCACCACAAACACCTTTAATACAATCAGCACCTCTTCAATTAATAACCTTGGTGAAGTACAGTTGTTGAGCTGTTACAAGGTTATGTAGATCCGCTGATTTCAATGATCAGACAGATCCCTTCAAATACATTTAAATTTGAACAAGCTTGATTTAGAAATGTCAGTAGGTTAGTTCTGCTCCCTACTTCAGAATGCCTCTGTACGCAAAATCAAGCATACCCCAAGCTAACTGCAAATATTTTCTGCTCCAGTCACTCTACATTTTTAATAGCTCTCCTTTACTACCTCAAGGATGTTCCTCTAAGCTTACGTGGTCTGGAAATTAAAAGATGCCATTTCAGGGCACACACAGGCAAGATGCGCATGTGGCCAGGCAGAGCAGCACAGCTGCATTCTCTACTTTCTGTTCCCCGACAGGGACTGACAGGCGAGAACGGTAGATGTATGCAATCATTAATATTAGCAACCATGAAGGAGCCTAGCGATAAAACCACATATGAATACCCGTAAAACTGTTCATCACCTTATGAAGTACTTCATTCATGTCCTCCAGGCAATCAAAATAAATTCAAAATCCTTTTATTACAGTAAACTTAAATGTTGTATTTTAATAAGTAGGGGGTCTCAAACTGGAAACAGTTTGAGCCTTCATATTTCAGCCTCTCCTGTTGCAGTATCTAAATATTCAGGGTACAATGAGAGTGCTGTGGGCAGGCAATGGACCATGAAGTATTGTCCAGTGCAAAATGCAGAACAATAGATTCTAACAGCAACTTAAAAAACCCCACAAAACACTAAAGCTACCTGAAGTGAAACTCTTAACAGGCAAGATGACAAGCAGCAGTAGAAAGAGGAAACCTCATTTTTTTGTGACTACATGCAAAGCAGTGTTGATATTAATCCAAGAAAGTAAAACAGACAATGAAAACCAAACAATTTTCCAGATCCAGAAAAACTGAAACAGCTACAGGTGTTTGCAAGAAAAACACTGAGCACTTATTCTTTACTATTGTTTTTACTACTTGGGTAAGAGAGGGCTCTGACAAACCAATGTGCTCCAATATATAGTATATTTAAACAACAGAAATTAAAAACCAATCACAAAGACCCAAGTGCACTCCCAAGGTGGACTCCAGTATTTCACAGTGTGTTTCTTGTGCCCCACACGCAGCACACATGCCAAACCCTCCCCAGCTGGGAACAGAAATCCTGGGTTACAGCTGTTCTCCAGCATTTCCAGAGTAGTTTGTTATATTGTCCAAGTGGCACTATTTCTTCTTGAGAGCTCTCTTTCCTTCCCCCTTCTTTGGTTTTTCCTTCCCGCGGAGCTTTTTCAATCGCCTCATCTCCTCCTTAAAGTCCTGATGCTCATCCCTAGATGGAGGACGAAAGAAAAAAGTTTACTCTATTTCTTGGAATACCTAGATGTGAAAGGTTCTTTGAACTGTATGATAGTGGGAAAAAAACCTCAAAACTTTTTTTAAACAGTGAAGTCTGCAATGAAACTCACTGCAATATATTTGGTGTTGCTGCTAGCAGTAATTTCGGACGGAATAACATGAAGGATTTCCTCTGGTACTTTCAGAACTAACAAGGTTGCCCTTTTCAGCAACAAGCGGTGTGTGCATAGATATGTTATTTCCATTGCATTTATCAATCCACTGTGTTTAAATGAGCAGTAAAATATAAAAATCAGCAAGAGACAAGAATGAGAAATTCCCCCTTCTCATCTAGATCAGCAGTCTAGCAATAGCACGTTGTGTTTCTGTGCTAGATACTAAGTTCAGGTCATTAGCTTCTAAGAAAACAGGGGCATGCTGAGCAGTAATTACAGTACATGACACTGCTCTCAGGTGACTTCAAGAATGATTTATGAAGAAAGCATCAGCTACTGGTAGGATCTTAATAGGAGAATAAAACAGGAAGGAGGATAAAAGTGATAATGAATCCTCAATAATGTTCCAATAAATGCTACTTAATCTCTGTCCCTGTATTTTTCAGTGCGAAGGTATTTTTCAAAAGTCACAACTGCATCCTAAGTGGCCGAAGATTGCTGCGCTGCTATTTTTAAATACAACTTTTCTAACAAAGAAATAAAAAGCTTGTGAGTTATTATCAGGTCCTCTTACTCTACAACTCTTCATTACGTATTTCTGACCAGCAAACCTGATCCTCTACAAGCTCTCTGTATACAGAGCAGCTAGAGAAGGAACTGGAGATTAGAAGGGGAAGGAGAAGAGTAAAGAACACTGTCATGTCATTGAGGGTTTCTGTGTCAACAAACAGCTATTCTAGAAAGTGTTTGCATGCTCACCTAAACAAAGAGCTAGTATTGTGATACTAGCAATAGAAATTAATCTGGTTTGACTTTACAGGGTTAGCAGCCTCACCTTTAAGGGATTTCTTTAGTGCTACCTGACTGAAGTCAAAGGATTGCATTTGACTCCTGCTGATGTTCTTTAGCAGTGCAGTTTTTCCTACTCGAGACTGTGGAAATTCATTTAGTAATTAGACAACTGGTTTGGATGAAGCTGGAATTAAAACAGCTATTTAAACCATGTTTGAGTTTAATTTAACTTTATTTTAAAGGATAAAAAGCCCCTCCAGCCTAACACAGACTTTCCTTCTCTTCTGAATTTCACTTACTAGCTGTTGAATGATTGAGGAATATATGGTAAGACTGTCTTAGTGCAATTTTTGTGTTAAGGTAACATCACCTTTTTGTATAGCACATTCATTTGCCATATTCAGAACTACAGACCCATCTCTTGTCTATGAGAAAGCTCTCTTCCCTTCCCCAGAAAGCCAAAGCAAGAACTATATCTTAATATAACTGGTTGCCCATAACTACACCTAAAGCCTTCTTACAAAAGGTTCTAATTATGATAAAAGTTACTTAGACAGTAGTCACTTATTTTACTCTCCTTGCCCTCAGTGCAACCATCAAGTGCATATTTCCATATGCACCATATTCTGCACTAAACCTTTTTCTATGTTCCTCTTTTCCTCGACGAAAAAAAACTGTAACAAAACTCACACCCACCCCTCTCCCACCTCCACTCCTGCCCCCACCCTATAAGCACAGAGATTACCTGTAGAGACCAAAGTAACGGAGTTTCTTCATGAGGGCGTAGTAGGTGTTGTGAGGAGGATACCAGCTGTAGACCTCCTTCTGCTTGGCCAAAGGCTGCTCGCTGAATAACTTCACTACTTTCATAGATTTTGAATCAGTTGGCCTGACAACTTCTCCGAATATCTGAGCACTCAGCCGGGCCATTCGAAGGGCATAACTGGAAACATTGGACATCTCCCAAGGAAGAGTGGGCACACATAGACGGACAGACCTTCCTGCAAAAGGAAACACAAAAGAGCCACAACTCTAAGATGACCGAGTATTGCAAGCTATCCCAAAATTAAGGCAAACAAAACAACTCACTGTACACTGATCACACATTTGAAGTCATCTATTCCTTCCATGAAATCAGTCTAATTCTTAGTGCATAAACCTGCATATAAAGAATGTCTACGCCAATTCAGGAACAATTAGCAGCCTAACTAGGACACTACAGACAGCAATATGGACTATAAAAGTACCCACGCTGAAACACAATTTACCACGGCTAGTTTATTAGTAGATCCCACTCAGTTTGCTCAAGGCCACCTTTAAACTCCAGTCACAGGAACAATTACAGTGTGAACTCTGCCAAAAACAGTGCCCACTGCAATGCCTCTGACTTACACAAGCACAGGGTTCCACACCACTTAAACATATTGAGGAAGCAACCTGGAAGTTTTTCTCATGAAGATTTCTCACCCCATTTAAAACAGTATGAATGTTACAGTCCATCTAGCAAAAATGGCCCATTAGCTGTATAAATAAATAAAATAAATCACGTTTCTCTATATGAATCACACAAATCTTTCCCGTATCAACTCCCTTCCCTTGATCGTTGCCATCAGCTTTTTCACCATCCTCTTTTCAGTCTCCTGATATCTATTCTGAAGAGAGGAAAGAAATCATCTCCGCACACCAGATTCTTTTTTCCGAGAAAATCCCACATCAGCAGCTTCCCACTCCCTTTCAGCAATCTCCCACCTGAAAACAGCTTTGCAACAAAAACACTCTGAAGGCAAACCCATTGTTATTAGGCCACCAGAGACAACATCCACACTCTCTTAAAGGAGTGTGGAGAAAGGTTTTCTCTCAGCTTTCCTACCCCTCCACATTTTTTTATCTTCTTTGCATCTTTACTTTTTCTTTGCAGAATGGGATGTAATGAACAAGAATAAGAGTCCCATGATCCTGTACTTGACACTGTGTGTTGCCTGTACTGTGCCCGTTTGAGTAAGTGATGATGTAAGTCTCCAGAGAAATTAAGCAGGGTTCATTCGAGTGCACCACACTTAAAGTTTAAAATTCTTGTTTTAAGGACCATTGCACAGCTGATTCCAGAAGATGAACATAAAAAATTTAAAGAGCATGGAGCAGGGACAAGAGTAATCAGCAGGACAGGGCTGAGTCAATTTTAGTATGATAACAGGAAGCCTGTTTAATAACATGAATCTGAAGTATTCATAACCTACATACATCTGCTCACTGGAGGACCTGATGTACAACCGTCTACTCTGATTTACTCCTGTTAGCAAAGCACTAGAAAGGAAGCAGAAAAAAAATGAAGTATGAAAATAATACAAGTA